TAATTCACAATGTGCTTGGGAAGCAACCCCCATGTCATCGTGTCGACTCGACTGCAAACTAACGATGGCATTAACTATCCTGTTCAAATAAAGAAACTCATAGCGGAGAAACGTAAATTAAGAAGAGTGTGGCAGAATACACGAAATATAAATAGTAAAACCAACTTTAATAGAGTGTCCCAGAATTTAAAAAGACTTTTAAGACATGTTAAAAACGAATGGTTTCAGGAATATACAAGTAATCTTTCTTCAACAGAAGCATCAAACTACTCTTTATGGAAGGTAACAAAAAACTTCAAGAGACCATAAAATCGTCTGTTCCCCCATTATTAAAACCTGATCGTTCGTGGGCTAACAGCTTGGACGAAAAAGCAAAAATTATTTGCGTCCCACTTCTCCCAAGTATTACACCACATACCAGTGCAACAAACTCTCCTGAGGTACAGGAATATCTGGATTCACCCAATCAACTGGATTTGCCTATCCAAACATTCACAAAAAATGAAATAAAAACATGCATCTTCCATGAATTAGGTTTAAATAAATCTCCAGGATATGATTTAATCTCTGCAAAAATATTAAAAGAGCTCTCTGAGAAAGGTTTTAAGTTCCTTACTCTAGTATTCAACGCCATTCTCCGCCTCGAGTACTTTCCGAATCAATGGAAGCCCTAGTAGCACAAATATGTATTTTATAAATATTTTATATATTCAAAGTTGTATTTGATAGAACCTCGAATAAAATATAAATATAATATATCTTTAATAATAGTTTGATATATTCAAATATATATTTAAAATATTACCAAAAAGCAATGCAAAATATAAATTAAATATAAGTTTTGAATATATAAAATATATTCATAATATATATTGATAAAACAAGTATAGAATCTATAATATACATATTTTATATGTATATTTTTCCTATTAAATATTTAAAAAAAATATGTGTTGAGAATATTTTAAATATATATATAAAATATTTTTGAAACTATATTATATATTTAAATTATTTATAAATATATTTTGAAACACGTCAGATATTTTTTATTAATAAAATAATATTATATTTGTAGAATATATATCCTATAATTTTTTATAATTAACAAATAAATAATTTGCATCTTTTTGTTTTTCATAGTGTCTATCAATTTATACATGCATTTTTTTGTATGATAATTGCTATTGTGAAAGCGTTAAAATTAATTTAATAATAATAAGTACTCTGAATGGTGTCACTCTATCATACACGTAAAGAAAAAAATAGCATATAGTTAAGAGGCAGTATACATGTTTGACAGCTACATTCGGGTCAAACGAAAAAAGCGTTGATGGGGGTTTTTTTTTATTGCATATGTGACAATGAATGTGATCATAGAAATCTCGAATGATTGGCTAGAAAAGGGTGCTAGTGACTGGCGACCTTTTAAGAAACTAATTACGGTTGTAGATGACGTTCTAAAAATAATTATTTGATTTACATATGCCATAAATTACATAATATTTGTCATAGTATTTAAATTAATTTTTGTAGTTTACTGTATTTGTATTCGTGGAGACTACTCACTATTCACTACAGCACTATTCAACTCAACTACTTGATGCCAAAACATGTTAACAGAATCATATTATACTGTAGTATCAAAAATATTTCAAGTATTGCAACCATTGCAACTGAGGGCCACTCTTTCACCATTTGAAAACTAAGGCTAACAACAGTCACAAGTAGCTCAGAGGTAAGGTAGGAGGCTCATAAGTCGGAGGACCCAGGTTCGAGACCCACCCGGGATGAAAAAATTTTATCCAGTAATTTTTTCAAAATTTGTTTTTATTAACTATTTAATCAATTTACTCAACTGATAATTGTGTTTTTCATACTAAATCTTTATTATTTTGTGTTTTTATGTTTAGGCCCCATGGGATGTTTGGAAGAGATATTAAATACATTTTAGCGAATTTCCCTATAGGGAAGTAGCTATTACCGTAGGTCTCATGGTAAGACCTAAGCCCGGGACCGATTTACTTTTTCATTTTGATGTCCCCAGAGGCCAAAAACACCATTCGTTCAAATTTTTATATATATATATATATATATATATATATATATATATATATATATATATATATATATATATGTGTCCATCCGCACGATAACTTGAGTAATTTTTGTCCGATTTTGATAAAATTTGGTTTGAAGGTGTAAGGCGGGATAAACTTGAATGAGTTCGCGAACCAGCATGATCGGACTATGGGAACGGGGGTTTATGGGGGGTTTTATGGGGTAAAAATAGGTTTTTCCCATTTTTGACCCTAAAAACACAAAATTTCACAATTTCTTTTTAAACCATTTTGTAGAGCTTAAAAAAACAAATAATTTAGTATATTGAAGCGTTATTATGCGCCTAATTGTTACGGAGAAAATTCAAAAAAATTGTTATTTTAAAATTCCCATGTTATTCTTGGTGACCATTTTATCACCCCCACAGTGTTGACAAGAAGATATCGGTTCAATATCGTGTAGTCATATCGACCATCACTTGCTATCGATTATCGATTAAAACACACTAAAAAGGACTTATGAAAATAAACAAAAATGATGAACTATTAATAATATTTAATTTAATACTAACGCCGGAATGTTAATCTGCCTTTTATCCCAATTAACTTATACTGTATAACTTAAATAACGCGTCTTGGGTATACCTATAACCTTTTAAAATAATGATTTGACAACTAAAGAATCTTTTAACCTTATTATTATTTAACACCAAGTAGGAAAACAAAACACGGATGGGGTAGTTTGACTCGAAACTCAAGGGAAGGAACTATTTTAGTGTGTTGTAACAGACTCTTTTACACAAACCCACAAGCTAGCTAAAATAAACCAAGTGAGAGCCTGTATCACATTACTAGGCTTAGGCTACTTTTCTTTTTTCATAGTAGTAGCCTTCAAATCAAATCAAAGCTTTATTTTCCAATTCTTAACTTAATGGCCTATTATATTAAAGCATTTTCCAGCCAAAAGGTTGTTTAATATATTGCATATTTCAATAATTCATACGCTAGCTGGAACGGACCTGATAAAACTGATAATTACCTATCATTAATTGCTATATATTATTTCATAGAAAATGTTAAAGTTAAAACCTTTTACGATAGCCCTATACGTTCTAATGAACCATCTTGGTGTTTATTTAATTAGGCCTAACATGCTTCAATTATTTATTTGGCCATTAAGCAATGCAATATAGGCTATGTCACTCTCGATACAAAATATATAATAAATAGTCCGTCTTGACTCACAAATGCATGCTATTTTAGAAAAATTTCGATACACAACAGTGGCAGATGTAGGACCTCACAAACTGAACAATCCCAACCCAACAGCAAAGTGAACACCCACATAACAATTCAGAAGCATAATTCATATTTTGGATGTGCTAATAATAACTTAGGCTAAGAAGCCCAAGAAGTATTTTTTATGATAGAAAAGCAATTAAGGAGGCGAGGATTGGCTTTGGCTTTGCTCATGCTTGGCGGAACATCAGCAGAAAACGGGCGATGCTCGATGGTTAAGTTGGATGTCGTCGACGATAATCACTGGTTGACTGGTTTGGTTATCTAAACCGATCTGTTCGGTCGGTTGACAATCGATTGGTCGATATGGTTACGAAAAAAAGGTCAACACTGTGTTGGTGATAAAATGGGCACCGTTATTCTTATGGAGAATAAGTCAACTGTTGTAATTTGCTTGTTTATGAACATATTTTGATCGAATTTGGAAAATACATTAATTTCTTACTAAACCACAGTACTGTACCTTGTAACATTTTACATGAAAAAAAACTTTTTTACCCTCCCTGTTGCAGCAAACCTAAATACTCATTAAACTAATTCTGTTTAAATAGGGAATAAATGTGATATTTTTAAGGAGACATTTTAGTTTAAATCCAATCAGACAAATGGAAATTCGCTAAGTCTGCAGGTTTGCTGCGGCGGGGGTATTTTATTTAAATATTATTCACTAAAATATATTATTGGAACATATTTTTTTAATATTTAATAGATTCAAAAACATATTTTTTATATATTTAATATATTTTAAATATTATATAAAATTGACATTAATACACACTTGAGATATATAAAATAGATTTTAAATACATTTATTCATATGTATTTAATATATATTTGTGCTACTAGGGAGGTCTCAGAAATTATCGTTCTACCAAAACCTGGAAAACCCCCAAACGAAGTAACCTCGTACAGGCCCATCAGTCTCCTTCCCATAATGTCTAAGGTATTCGAACAACTATTTTTAAAAAGACAAGGCCCACTGTTGGATGAACATAATGTTATAGGTACCTAATCATCAATTCGGCTTCCGTCAAAACCATTCTACCATTCAACAAGTGCACCGACTTTCAGACAGAATAAGACAGAGCCGGGAGAAAAAAGAAAATTGCTCTGCAGCGTTTCTTGATGTAAGCCAAGCCTTTGATAAAGTGTGGCATCCTGGACTTTTATTCAAAATTAAACGTTCTCTCCCTCATAACTATTTTCTATTGTTTAAATCTTCTCTGTAAAACAGACATTTTAGAATAAAACACGAAGGAATTTACACCAAGCTACACAAAATAGAGTCAGGTGTACCGGTGTACCGCAGGGAAGCGTCCTGGGACCAATTCTCTATCTCTAGTGATCAGTGATGAGAAGGCTACTCGTACTATTGAAAGTCGATGGCTAAATAAACGTTTCAGACAAAGTTGTGAAAATTGATTGTTGAACATCTGTTAGCTATTATAACCAAACGTACGCTGTTATTGCTGTGTCTACCCCTGTTTGTTGTTTTTAGTGAGTTTTTATTTGTACCGACGTTTTATGAAATGCTTACCTTTTGATTAAGTAAATCACAAAATATAATTCAGATGAACAATGTAAATTTATTTTTATACGTATACATTTCATGACATTTTTTGTAGTATTAGAGGAACTGCTGCAGCTTCCATTTTACTGCTATGGCTGGTTGGTTATTCATTCAGGGATGACGATCGGAAATCTCCTACCTTTGTTTCTATCCCTGTGAAAAATGCCTTCCGCGTCAACAGCTAAACTTGAGAAACAGGCCTCTTCGGAGGCGGTAGATCCAGTGAAACAAGTATATAAGCTGGTTGAACATAAAATTCGGAATCTGCTGAAAAAGAAGGTATGTAATTTATTTCATACGTTTTATTATTTGCAGAGATTGAACTCGTCGGAGGAACCCGTTCCACCATGTGCTGCACTGCCCTTGTCGGCGGATTGTCATTTTGAAAACTAAGATAAAATGCAAGTAAAGTGTATATAAAGTGCATATATACTCGTATGAGTTCAATTTGCACACCTTTCGATAAGAACCATATCTTTTCTGAAGTCTTGAAACTCTTTACAGCCTTACAGGTTAGCCCCAAGTTCACTCCCTTAGCCATATCCCTGGTCATCCTTGCTGCAAGTTGGTAGATTGGCCTACTTGAGGTTGCACTTTAGTTTACGTCCTACATTTACTTTTATACATTAACGGGTACAGTTTCTTAACTGGGCTATGCTAACTTAATATCGATTGAAACCATCGATTGATTAGTAAACTTTCATCCAAAATGTTTATAATGAGCAAGTTAGGTTAGCTTATGACAGTTTTCAATCGATATTAGCATAGCCCAGTCAAAAACTGTACCCATTTTATAATTGATGTACCGGTAGTTTAAAATATTGATTATTAATCGATATTTTCAATTTGATAGTTTCAATCGATGTAGCTTTGTTAAGAAACTGTACCCACAATAACTAATTTACTAGGCTAGGCCAAGCTGATTATAAAATGAAACTGTTCTAAGTTAACCAAACTGCACTAAGTTAGCGGTATGTGAGTACCAGGATGTAAACTAAAGTGCACGACTTAAGTTTAAAACTAAGTCAATTATTTAAATCGTGATATTTCTGTGATAAGTTAGTGGTTCTTCCAATAGGAAATATGGTTTAAACTTACTTTCCTATTATACGGAGACCACTTAATATTTTACAGCCCGCTTTGGCGGTTGTGTTAGTTAGGGTTCCTATCATAATGATGTTTGTAGGCCTTTCCTAGTTTTATAATGAATCGAACGATACCAGATAGCCTAAGTCATACAAAAATTAGCCTATGATAACCCAACCTAACACAACTGGCGCAGCGTGCTGTCTAATAGTGGTTTGTATAATACGAAAGTACCGGAAATATTTCTAATGTACCTATTGATTAAATACAGTAAGTTAACTTATAGACCTAAATCTGTTAATAACACTATTTAAACTCTATCAATAACACGTTCGCTGCCGGTTATTATAACTTAATTGTAGTAACTGAGCAATAACTTAGCACTTCACGTGGCCTACCTACTATAAATATAAGTTAGAACGGTGCTCCCCTTCACTAACATTGCCTCGGTGTGAACTATGTTATTGTAGTCCTGAGTAAGTTATTGCCGGTTTTGTACGGTACATAATCTTCTAGCGAATTTCCCATATTGGGAATAAGCTACCTATTACCGTAGTACTACTCATATTAAGACCTGGACTCGGGAGCGATTTTGTTTTGTTTTGAGGTCCCTAGAGGCCAAAAACATCATCTGTTCAAATTCATATTATATATATATATTTATATATTAAATTATTGTAGTAAATAATTACAACTGAGCACCCTGAATATTATATTTTTAATAGAAGTATATATATATATATATATATGTGTGTGTCCGTTAGCACGATAACTCGAGCAAAAATGATCCGATTTTGATGAAATTTGGTATAAACGTGTAAATCTGCCGGTACATTTATTCTAACGAGTTTGCGAACCAGCATGATTGGACTATGGGAACCGGGGCTTACGGGGGGTTTTATGGGGTAAAAATAGGGTTTTCCCATTTTTTACCCAAAATAATCTAAAATTTTGCAATCCAGACCATTTTGTACAGCTTAAAAAAACAAATAATTTAGTATATTGAAGCGTTATGCGCCTAATGGTTACGGAGAAAATAAAAAAAATAAATTTAAAATTGCCATGTTATTCTTATGGAGAACAAGTAAACTGTTGTAGTGTGCTCTTTTATGGATATATTTTGATCAAACTTGGCAAATTTATTTATTTTAGGCCTACACTAAGCTATTATATTAAAAAAAAACAAAAAAAAACACGCTTTACACCCTCCCTGTAGGGGCAAACCTACGTACTCATTGAACCTAATGTTATTTAAATACATTCAAGTGAAAATCAAAGCAGGTAATTGGAAATATATTTTGTTTTCGGATTGGTAATTATAAATCTTACTGTGTCGGTGCTGTTTGAGGCTTTGGCTTAGATTTAGTGACATGGAATACGTTTAGGATACAACGATAATGACTGTAGGCCTAAGTAGTGTGGCATTGTGGAAGGAACCTAACCTCAAAATTAAATGCATGACGCTTTTTGTGCAGTAGGCAAAAACAAACGACTGTAAGTTAATGAAGTCGTGCTATAAATTGCCCCCCCCCCAATTGGATGAAACTAATTTTAATTTAAACATTTTCATGCACTCCATCCACACAGTGCATTAGCTTTTCCCGTGGCCAGCCATCACTTAAGTTAACCGCAGCAAACATGTTAACAGTGTAGCCATGTGTGTCCAAAATTAAGGATGGTGCAACTAGTAAGTTACTAAATTAACTTGCTGTCAAGTTTATTAAAGTATTTTTAGCGAATTTCCCATATAGGCTAGGGAATAAGCTATTACTGTAATATAATATAGGGTGAAGTGGGGTAAGAGTAACCGGGGGGCTAGTGTAACCACGGCTTATCACTCAACTAATAAGATAATTTTGGACCTAAATACTATCATATCTTGTTATTTGGACCTTCCTTTGTTATATTTAGCCTTAAGAATGCATATAAAATATGTACAAGTAATAGTTTTAGAATGTTTAAAAAAGGCTTACATTTCCACTCCATCGGCAAGTGCCGACCTCAAACTTTGACAATTTTTCATACTCACATTTTTAATGTAAATTTGACAGTTTTTGGTTTACAAACTAATTTTTGCATGTAGAATCTGAATATAATTTCAGATCTGTGCTATTTCCTATTGTTTAGATTTTACAAGCGTGGTTACACTTACCCCTGAAAGTTTGCAGTCGGGGCAAGTGGCTTTTTGGATTCGGGGCAAGTGTAACCAGGGTGTAACTCATATAATATTCAGTATAAAGAAAAAAAAACTTTGTTGTAAATATAAAATTAGGAATTTAGAAGATAAGGTAAAATTTTACACATATTGTTACTGAGTTAAGTTGGTTTGAAGAAAAACATAATTGTTTGTGAGTGAACTGCTTAAGTGATTATATAACTTTCACGTTAAACTTACCCCGTTTTACAATTTAGGATTTTCTTGCCCAAATGTAAATAAAAAAACAATATTACTGTGAGATTTATTCTACACATGTTAAACAACATTAAAAACCATGTAAGTACCAATTAATGTTGTGTTTTTAATGTTTTAACACTAATCTTTCCGTTTTGCATGTTTTGCGTTTTTCACAAAACGCGAGAAGAGGTTCACAAAAAAGTTCGTAACTTGAGTAAAAATTAAGATATTTTAATAAGTCAAAAAGTCTTGGAATCAGCAAAAGATTTGGAATCTGGCCACTTGCCCCATGTCTCTTTTTCAATGCTTTATATATTTTTAACAGGCAGGGGTTACACTTGCCCCGAACCCTGGGGCAAGTGTAACCACAAAACGCAAAATTTTTAGTCATTTTTTTTACCAAAAAAGATTTTATTTTTTAATAACAATGCATATTGTTTTAAAGCCCATTAGTCAAAGTTTATGCATAAAAAATTTCAGAACTATATCATGTATAACAAGATGGCAATTTGAGGTCAAAGCTGAACTATGCCAAAACGTGGTTACACTTACCCCACTTCACCCTAATATAATATATATATAATATAATAATATAATATAATATAATAATCATGGTAAGACCTGGACCCGGGACCGATTTAATTTTTCATTTTGAGGTCCCTAGAGGCCAAAAACACCATCCGTTCAAATTCATATATATATATGACTGTAATAAACAACAGAACTACACAAAAATCTACATTTGCAGAACACATACTTTCTACAGACCATACATATAAAAATTATAACAAAAACATTACCATAGCTTACTAGACATTATTAACAAAGGAACCAAAATGAACATAAAAGAAAATTTCCACATATATAAACACTACAAAGAAGATAGAGACAATATTTTAAATATTGTACACACACAAACTACAAATCCTATATTTAACAAAATTATAAGTGTTAGAAAAACCAACAACTAAACATTCAATCACATGCTAACAAAATGTCCAAAACATGTCACTTCAAAAAAAAAAAAATAATATTCAGGGTGCTCAGTTGTTCTTATTTACTTAAATATTTAATATATATATATGTGTCCGTTAGCGCGATAACTCGAGCAAAAATCATCCAATTTTGAATGAAATTTGGTACAAACGTGTAAACCTACATTTATTCGAACAAGTTCGCGATCCAGCATAATAGAACCATGGGAACGGCGGTTTATGGGGGGTTTTATGTGCTATGGGTTTTTCCCATTTTTGACCCAAAAAACAAAAAATTTAGCAATTTCTTTCCAAACCGTTTTGTAGAGCTTAAAAAAAAGAAATAATTTAGTTCATTGAAGCGCTGTTGTAAGAACGGTCACGGAGAAAATTCAAAAATAGTGTAATTTAAAATTCCCATGTTATTCTTATGGAGAAAATGAAAATTGTTGTAGTTTACTTGTTTATGGATATATATTGATAAAATTTGGCAAATTTCTTTCTTTCATCCTATAGGCCTACTATTGACGTACCGGTATGGTCAAAAAACACTTTTTACTTTCCCCTTAGCAGCAAACCTAAGCACTTGTTAAATCTAATGTTATTTAAATAGGGAATAAATATGTCGAAAATATTTGTAAATTATCATCTTGAGCCTAGTATTCATACTTGTGTAAACCATCTTGTTTGATGTACATTACATATTGTAAAATGGCTGCTTGCCGTAGAAATAAATAAATAAATAAAAAGTTTGTAAGTTGATAAGATAAATTAGCTCAGCTTATTATCACAGACAATAGACCATTAAACTTAAGTCTGTAGTC